GAGTGCTGGGATTACAGGCGTGTGCCACCACACCTGGCTATCCTATCATATTTAAAACATTTCATTAATACAGAAGTATAATATTTGCCAAAGCAGGAAATAATGAAAACAGTGGCTTCTTCAAAAAAGTTTGCTAAGGTAAAGTTCATAAACTTGTTTTAGTATTTTAAAATTCAGTTTTCAAGAAAATCTCTTCACCCTCAATTTGAACATAAATAGTAAACCAAATCCCAGTATTACTATCAAATCATTGTGTAAAGACCAACCTTTTTCAGATAGAAGGTTCTTAGCCAACATATTCCCAAGGTAGTACTCATGAATATTTATTTTCTATATTAAGAAAAAATACAGTAAGTATTTTGCAAATATATTTTTAAGGATACAACTTTAAACTATCAATTTCATTATGAAACTTCTCAGTTTGCTTTTTCACTTTCTATTCTGAAGAAAACCATACCTGACCAGTTTCTTTCTCTTCATGGTACTGCCGGATATGTTTTCCATGGCATACTTCATAAGTCCAGTAAGACTCAATCTAGAAAGATGAATGTTTTTAAACATATAACTAACACCCATTATTACTTTTTTTTTTCTGAGAAAGGGTCTTGCTATGTAGTTCAGATTGGCCTTGAACTCACTATGTAGCCCAGGCTAGCCTTGAACTCGTAGCAATCCTCCTGCCTCAGCCTCCAGCACTGGGATTACAGGCATGTGTCACCACCCTAGATGACACTCAAAATTATGTCTCAGAAATATGTGAAATTTCTGAAGTCTTCATTATTTTCATTTGTTAGCTCTATGTGAGAATTATGTGAAAAAAAAAAAAAAGATCCAGAATATGTTTGGGTATCTACTAACTACCTGGCTTAGGGATAATGTTCTTTATAGTTTAAAAAACAGCAAGAGTTTTAGGCTGGGTGTGGTGGTGCACGCCTGTAATTCCAGCACTGAGAGGATGAGGCAGGAGGATCGTCGAGTTCGAGACCATCCTGGGCTACAAAGTGAGCTCAAGGTCAGCCTGAACTGCATACCAAGATCTTGTCTCAAAAAAGATAAAACCAAAAACAAAACAAAAAGCCCAATAATTTTAATAGAAACTCTATTAGGTGAGGAAATTTTCCTTTCAGCTGAAAGTATCTGTGGTAGTTTGGTAACTGATGGTTTAAATTTTTTTTGAGACAGGTCTTGTCATGTTGACCAGGCAGGCCTGACTCATAGTCCTCCAGCCTCAGCTTTCAGGGGGCTGGAGCACAAGTGTGCGCCCCCACGCCCAGCGAGAAGGGTAACTTGAAATTAGTACTGGTTACTGAGTGTCTGTGCGAAGTACTACTACGCAATAATTTACATTTGCATCTACCTTAAAAAATAATGTAAGATAAGAAGAAATGCGTAAGTAATTTCAAGGGTCTACTGACTCCTGGAGATTTATTTTCTAGTTATCAAATGAAGGAATAATACCTACCCTGTAAGAACAGCTGCTTTGCTTAAACAGTGGTTCCAAAAGCTCTCTTGGATTAGGGCCTTTATAATCTTTTTCTTCTTCCTAAGAAAGAACTGGAGTTAAACATGTATAATTTTTGTAGAATTTCACCCAACTCTGCTGTTTGGGTATTAATTCACTGCTTAAATCACAAACGCTTGGAAACAAAAAAGGAAAGAAGTAAAAAACTTCAACAAGATTCTACTTTCAAGTGAATTGAAGTATAAAATATGAAGCAACAGAGTAAGTTTCTACAGTATTTATCTTTCGAAAAATGCTTTTTATTCTTGTTTTGTGTTTTTGGAGGCAGGTCTTGTTATGTATCTCATGTTGGCCTTGAGCTCACAGTGATCCACTTGCCTCAGCCTCCCAAGGTGTGTACCACCCTGCCTGATTCTTCTTTTTTATCATTTTGGTTTTTTGAGATGGGGTCTCACTTTGTACTGCAGGCTGGCCTTGAACTCACTTTGTAGCCCGGGCTGGCCTCGAACTCACGGTGATTCTCCTGCCTCAGCCTCCTGAGTACTTGGATTACAGGCATGCACCATTATGCCTGGCTCTTCCTTTTTAGAAAAGGTTGGTGAGCATCAGTCTTTTGAACAAATTTTACAAATTCATTTCAGAATTTTTTTTTGTACCAGGAATTGAACTCATGAGCTCACACTTGCCAGGTAGACACTGTGCCATTGAGCTAAATCCCCAACCCCCATTTCAGAATGTTTAAATGTGTCTACTCAAACAAATTCTAGCTATGAAAGTCTCAAAATGGTTGAAACTTGCAAAGTTTCAAGGTATTTTCAGTTCCTTATATATTTTTTACACTTCGGATCTGAATGCAAAATGTACATAAGGTTTCTATCTGTGTGTATATCTGTGTCTTAGGAGATTTATTTATTTATTTCTGTGTGTGCGCGTTGTAGGAGATTTAAAACAAAATGAAACAGTACTGAGTTTAATTTTCTGCTTTATAGATCATGAAAACATTATATAATTGCCTCCACAGATTTATGGAGTAGAGGAATGGAGTTTCACATCTGTTCAAGGTGCTAGAGCTAACTGCAGCCTATCCCTAAGCTCCCACCTCCTAGGCTGGTAGCCTTTCCACTTAGCAGACTGTCCCTCCTGCTTCATCCTGACCTAAGTTACCACCTTGAAGGTTGGCGATGAGGCTGTTAGGCACTGCAGGGGAAAGAAAAGGGCAGAGCAGGTAGTCTGCAAGAATCAAGTCCTTGGAAACTTATGAAAATGCCACATAGGTGTCTAAAACTTGTATCTTGTTTTAAACCCTCATTTCTGCAAAAAGAAACTATTTTCACTCAGACAGTAATTCTGCTAATTTTTCCAAAATGAATGGCAAAGGAATAATAAAAGTGATTACTGTTTTTATGCTAAAAGTATTACTAAGGATCTCATTACTAAATTTTTAGGGTATATAGTTCCAGTATTTTAGATAAGTAATTTTGGTGACAAGGATTACTGATACATTTATAAAAACTCACCTCATCCCCACTTGTCACAAGGGGAAGTATACATTTGTACTTTTCTTTATGTGTAGTTGTCATGATGACATAGTTATCTTCTTTATACAAAACTCCAGTTGTGGGCTAGAAATAGAACAAAAACTATACATTATTTTCTTCACTTAAATTGCATTAAGTTCAGTCCTAGCTAGAACAAAGGTTCCTCAAATTAATTTATCTTTTCAACAGAAAATTTTTAAGATGTATGTTCAAACGCAGGGCAGTTACACATTTTTATATGACAAAATAACCTTTATCCTGATGCTACAGTATAAAAATATATGCAAGTTTGCAGTAAAAAGGAAAAAGCTGCAGGACAGCAGGCTGATGTTAACACACCAACGAAAAAGCAGTGAAGTACCGGTTAACAGGCAACGACCCTTGTTTGTCTGAGGGGCCCTGGAGACTGGGCCAGGGCCTGGTGCATCGAGGCGCTTCCTCTATGCACCCCTTTATTTTCATTCTGAGACAGGCTCTCACTAAGTTGGCTTCAAACTGGGGGTCCTTCTGTGTAAGCCTCCTGAGTAGCTGGGATAACAGCGATGTACCGCAGCACCCGCATGAAACCTTTGCTTCTGGTATGTACTTTATGACCAACAATTCCCTTTACTCTTTTCTTCCTATAGTACTATGAAACCATTGCATTCTTTGTCCATTTCCAGCAAGGAAAGATTCACTTATTAAGTGTATCTGTCCTTTTCTCAGTTTTTTTATTTTTAATTTTTTTTTCTTTTAAGAGTAGAATATATTTACTGGGGCAAAGAAAGCTTCAGTCTGAGAGAGGGACAGAAGGGGACCCGAGTGCGTTGTTCCCTTTTCTCAGCTGAACAACAACTCTTAAGTATAATAAAACCACTACTCAAAACCAGTGTAATCTTAAACACAAAGGCAGACTAGGGCAATGCTTTCCCAAGAGACACGCACAGCGACAGTAAGTTCAAGCTCTATCTGTCACAGTACAGCAGTTGACTGAGGGCTGGTTCCAGGACCCCTGAATACCCCTGCACAGGCTCAAGTTCCCTGTATAAAATGCATGTAACTTATGTAGACCCTCCTTTCTACTTACAATCATGGCTGGACAACTTACAATACCCAGTACAATGTAAATGTCAAGTAAATATGTTTTCTTTAGGAAATGTAAAGGAAAAAAATGTCTGTACTTGTTTAGTACAGACCCAATTTTTCCTCCCTGAATATTTTTATCTGAGGTCAGCTGAATCCACATATACAGACCCATGGATGTGGAAGGCCCACTGTACTGTTGTAAAAGTGATTTATATTTATTAACACATGAACCTTCAGAATAAGCGTAATATAGTACTCGTGTTCACAGAGGACACTAAGTCAGAGCTTAAATAATTTTTCCAAGGTAACACAGCTAGAAGTAGCAGAGCCTAGCAAACCTAAGCAGACTGGCTTCATGCACTGTGTCAAATTTTAACACACGTGAACCAGCTTTTATTAATATTGTATCTAGAATTCTGCATAAACTTCTAATTTTTGGCCAAGTATCCTTATTTAAAAGACCATTATAGGGCTGAGGGGGTGTATTCAGTGGTATTTTCAGTATTGCAACAAAACACAGAAAACCATTGTAAGTAATAAGGGAATTAGCAAAGCTAAATTTACTATAAAGGCATCCTTAGAAACATTCATTCAGTTGGGCCAACAATTTGCTCTAAAACATTAATAACATCTTTCAGTGTTTCTCAGAGATACCTGGAACATTCAATAGTGACTTGTACAAAGCATGTCATTCATGTAGCAATGGGTGCCTTGAAGTTGCAGCACTCTAGCACTGAGCAATATCCCTGTACTTTTAAATTCTGAGACAAGATCTTGCTAAGTAGTGCAGGCAGTCCTTAATTTTCTTTTGCCCCAGTTTCCTGATAGCTGGGTGAATGCCACTACACGAGACAAATCGTTTTTTATGAAACAGCGTCTTGCTATACAGTTCAGGCTGTCCTTAAACTCACTGTGTAGCTCGGGCTGGCCCTGAGCTCTTGGCAACCCTCCTGCCTCAGGCTGACTGCAGGGATCACAGGTGTGCACCACCACAGCCAGCGAGGCAAACTATTTTTATACTGCAGTGAAGACAGTAGCAAAAGACTTTCATGTTTTCATGTCTATTTGTGAATTACCCGTAACGCCCACGTTCAGAACTGAACCCCACAGCAAACACCGACCGATTCACTACAATGTCCAACACATACTAACAGTGGAAGAGGGAGCTGCTTGTGTGTGGGACCACAGCAAGCAAAGGAAGACATTCTTGATGCAAAGTCCTTTGTTAGTCTGTGAAGGGCTACTCTTCTCCGTACTAAGGCCAAATACTGGGACCACCAGGAATAATTTTAATCAATTTTACTCTCTTTTTTTTTGAGACAGGGTCTCCTGTGCAGTTCAGGCTGGCCTCAAACTTGCAGTGATCCTCCTGCCTAGGCCTCCGAAGTGCTGGGATTCCACGTGTTCACCACTAAGCCTGGTTACTCTACTTTTTAGTAACAAGTTACTGAGGCAAAATCAGTATTCTGTATTTTTTAAGTTAAAACATTTTCAAGCTACAGGGTAATATCTACTATAGTTTAACATTAAAATTTAATACAATGAAACTAATTGAACAGGAGGGAAATTTAAAGGAACTTTAAAAACCTCAAGGGAGAAATACCTAATGTTTGACAATAGATCTGGAGTAACTACGATTGTTAGAGGATAAGTCGGCCACAACAGCCAAGGTCTCTGCCACATACCAGAGCCAGGCTGACATCGCACTCAGGGACAAAAGCTCGGAATGTGTGCCCACTGCCAGGGCGGCCTCCGGCTCCAAGACGGGAGAGGAAAATATCCACCCAGGGAGAAGGAAAATACATTCAGTAGCACAAACTTGCAGTGTGTAAGACATGCTGTTAACCATGGAGTGGCTCAATATTCTTACCAAGTGCAGCAACTCGGTTAAGTTTTTTTGAGCAGGAATATATTCTATACGCATAGAAGAAGTAGACAGAAAACCAGATTTGCTTTGTGGTTCAATTTGGTGAAATTCATGAGCTCTGGAATACTGAATAACTAAATAATGATATAGAGATGACAATTTCACAAAAAATATACACAAATGCTAAAAACTAGTAAAGAGTATCTTATTATAAATCAGTTAATATAAACACTGAAAAATGTACACATTTTTGATGTTTAATACTTTATGTAAATATGAGAGCAAGATTGTAAGGGATTATGCATTGTTTTGATACACCTGGATGAGAAGATTTAAAGCAGACAAGAAGCTTAAGATAGGTGTGGTGGTGCACGCTTGTCACCCCAACATTAGGGATGCTGAGGCAGGAGGATCACAGTGAGTTCAAAGCCAGCCTGAACTACATAGCAACACCCTGTTTCAGACAAAACCCCCCCAAAACCAAACAAAAAAAAAAGTTTAAGCAAAAAAATTCAGAACTTCTATTATAATCTCTTCCAGTTTCAGATGGTGAAGAGAAAGGATCTTATCCTAGTTCATACAGTTGCTTAGTTATACACAAATACCCAAACAAATGACCCATAAAAAGACAATGGCAGCGCTACGATATGACAGCAGACGTTAAACAAAGCAGGGAAGGGAAGCTGTAAGATTATAACCCTATTTACAAATCCCGAAAGACCAACGATAATGACTCTTACTGCTTACTTTTCGCACACAGGCCATACAGTTTTTGCCAATTTATAGCAAAACATCTCTAGATTTTCCTCAAAATAACTCACTTTAAAAAAGGGAGTCTTTTTTTCTCCCTATCTCTTCTGGGATTCTTTTCCATAATGTCTTTTCAGTCAGCAGCTATTACTGCCAGAAAGAAAACTGCATGCCAATTAGATAGTAATCTCCGCAAAGGCTAGATATATTTGTCCCCTTAAGAGATCAGACCATTTTCAAAGCCACACACAAGCATGCTTTTCACAATTAAACACAAGTGCAAGGGTAAAAAGCCTCAGCTGAAGATACAGATCAGGGGCACAGCGCATGCCCGGCAAGCACAAGGTCCTGAGGTTGATTCCTTGTACTTGGAAAAAAAAAAGCTTTAAGCAGTTGTGCGCTCATTCCGTGTGCTCCCTGGAAAAAACGGAGAAAGGTGTAACGTAACCCTCCTCGAGCCTCTTAAGGTTGTATCTGACTCACTAAAAAAACTTGTACAGGTATTTTAACATATCTCATGGCATTAATGCAAAGACAGACCTGACTGTACGGAGAAAAACTGATCTACATAAATGAGAATTTACTGAACCAATATGGAGCACAGGAGCGGAGAAACCAACCAAGCACTAAACACAATATAAACAGAAACTAACAACACAAACACTTGGAGGAAGTGTCACGCGACAAGGACGACCCCCGTAACTTGGCCCGTCTTCGGGGCGGCGATGCTCGCGGGAGCCCGAGCCCACGGCCGGGGCGCAGCCGCGCTCTCTGCGAAACGCCTCGGGACGCGGGGTCCGCAGCGGAGCAACCCCCACTCGGGGGACGCGGGCAGCGGCCAAGGGTCTAGGGGCTCCCGCTTCTGCCCAGGACCTCGGCCCGAAACCTGCGCCGACGCAGACGA